TCGAACGCCCTAACCACCTGGCCATGCCGGGGCCTACTATTGCAATAAAGATACTAATTTAACCGCAATGTTTTGCGAATCTCTGTTAGTAATTTAAACAATATACAAATCACTCAGTTTAACCACTTATTTTTAAATTATATAAGAGTAGTAACTTAGAGAATAATGTTAGTTGGAGAGATTTTGAGCTTCAAATCATGATTATACGGTGGGAATGGCCGCAGGTAATAGGGGCATTCTAGTATAATTATAAAATAAAAATGCTTGAAGCTAGAGAGTCCATAACGTCATCCCCACGTGGAAACGGCAGCGATTTAAGGTCACTACAACATCATTATAACGTTGAAACAGCTATGATTAAGAACTCTAGAACATTATTATAAAGTGAGAGACATTAGTAAAAATATGAAACAAGAAAGAGATTACGATTAGAAAAAAAAACATAACCTTATAACATATCCTTCTTTGCTTTTACTCACAAGTTCTTAGTATTACTATAATGTAGATTTGTTTGTTTGGAATTTCGCGCAAAGCTACACGAGGGCTATCTGCGCTAGCCGTCCCTAATTTAGCAGTGTAAGACTAGAGGGAAGGCAGCTAGTCATCACGACCCACAGCTAACTCTTGGGCTACTCTTTTACCAACGAATAGTGGGATTGACCGTCACATTATAATACCCCCATGGCTGAAAGGGCGAGCATGTTTGGTGGGATGGGGATTCGAACCCGCGACCCTCAGATTGCGAGTCGAGCTCCCTAACCACCTGGCCATGCCGGGGCCCTGTAGTTTTGTCTCGTTAACACTGTGGCTGCTTGAATCGCTCTGTGAACAATAACTTGTTGGATCGCCAATTTGTATGAATGGTAATAAAGTTTAATTAAGATAAATAATGATAATAATAATAAATATAAAATAGTTAATAAAGTTTAATTAAGATAAATAATGATAATAATAATAAATGTAAAATAGTTAAATTATCATGTTAAAATTAAAAATAAAAGAAATAAAGCTTTGTCCTTAATTCTTAGAGTAAAAATATGATTACTAAGTGGTTTAAATAAAATTAATAATAATTACAATTTACTTGCTTATTCTCGTTCACACCGTGACAGTCGTTGTTCATGAAAATTGATGATATATATATATAGCGCCTATACCACTACAATGTCTGTCATATCCCAACCGGCCTTTTGAGCATTGGTATTGAGTGAAGTTTATCGTCGGCATTGGATATGACAGATGTAGTTTAGTTAACATATTATAACATATTGTTTGTTTTCACTCATTGGTTCTTAGAATAATTGCAATGTGATTATGATTAGAAAAGTAATAATATTAATGTATACATGGGAAATCTAGTATCTTTAGAATCTCTATAATATCATTGCAATGTTGAATGGGCTATGATTATAACCGATATAATATTATTACGTTGTGAAATGAGCAATTATTAGAATCCACACTTAACTTTCTTCATGCACTCATACTTTACGTAACGAAAACGTGGTAAAAAAAATAGATACAAATTATATAATGTTTTATTCGCGAACAGCAGTTGTTCGTGACAAAAAAATAGAATTAACTAAAAGATCTTAGCGAGTTGTTAATAATATTTTATAGAAACACAACTAGGGTTAGTAACAACAGCAGTTTACGTATTTGACAGTGAAGTTTAAGTATGTTTAGATAACTTATGACATATTAATTACAGTAATGATATTCAAATACAAGTGACCCAAGATTAATTCTTGTAATTAGAAGGTTATTTATTACATACATTCTTCCCTTAGTGCATCAACATACCACTAGATACAATAATTAAGGATTCTTGTACATAGCTTTCATGTATAACGTTTACAATACAAAAATGGGTTCTTTCCTATTGTCGTAGGGTAGAACGCGGGCCAATGATAAGCTGAATCGGCTGTGTGAATAAGGTTCTGTAAATGTCTTAGCGTTTTATTCAAAACAATTAAAAAATTCACAATCTGTACTTTGAAGCATGGTACATAATACTAGTGACGGTTAAATCCCACTATTCGGACTGACAAGAGTAGCCAAAGAGTGAGAGACGAATGGTGTTTATTAGCTGCCTTTCCTATAATCTATCTTCAAGATTAGGGACACGACGAATGGTGTTTATTAGCTGCCTTCCCTATAATCTATCTTCAAGATTAGGGACACGACGAATGGTGTTTATTAGCTGCCTTCCCTATAATCTATCTTCAAGATTAGGAACGGCTAGAGCAGATGGTCCTCATTTGTAGTTTTTTCTCTGTTGAATATTTTATATTTTTTCTATCTGTTTATGAGGACTTATCCTCACTTTATTTTAATTGATTGTATATATCACATGTTTTTAACAATTCATTCAAACGTGAGAACTTATCATAATTTTTAATATTTTTTTCAATGAAATAAATTTGTACATGTTCGCTGATGTGTTCAAATTCTCTGAGTTCAAGCTCAGTACGTTAATCATTTGGTCATATATGTTGAGGACTAATCCAAGCACCTTTATAAAAAAAAAGGTTTAGAATGGTTTAATGTTCTACTTCTTAAGAAAGTCGCCGAAACTCGATTCTTAAAATTCAGTTTTGTAGTCTGCCAAAAGACGGCGAAAGATTTACTCAATCTTTTATTTGTGAATTGTAATCCGTTTATCTTAGTATAAGAGATAACTTATACAAATATAACACAAGCATTCTGGATTTACCAACGTTTTTATTTGTGAATTGTAATCCGTTTATCTTAGTATAAGAGATAACATTGTAAGTACCTTATACAAATATAACACAAGCATTCTGGATTTACCAACGTTTTTATTTGGAAAAGCTTCAACAGGCAATGTTTTGACGATAATATTTTACTTTTCTGATTCGTAATATTTTTGTTTCAGTTCGTAATACTTGTACACTAATACAGGTAAAATCATAATTACGTTGAAACCAGTATTTCTTTCAATGAAAGCCTTAAAATATATGAATTACTTGAAGGAAATCAACATTTGTATTATCTGTAATAAACGAAGAGGGTGCTGAGTGGCAGATAATAGTACTAAATACGTGATTATTTGTAATGGAAAGGGTTGTAAAGCGAGTCAGAAACGAAATTAAAACCCATCACGTGTAAGAAATTTATTCGACCCACTAGTTGTGATAACTCTCTTGAATACATTTTTAAAATGACAAATTGCGTTACGTCATCGGGCTCCATGTTTTTTTATAGTCGTACGTTAGTGTATTTTTTAAAAGTTACAAGAAATGTATGAGTTATTGTTTGTTTGTTTGTTATTAAGCGCAAAACTACACAGTGGGCTATCTGTACTCTTCCCACCGATTTTTAGTGTTGGAAACATTCAGACTTGCCGCTGAGCCATCGAAGACAGGATTGGTTGATATTATTTTTCAAATACTTTATGAAGATACTCTAGTATATGCCTTTCGTTATGAACTCTGTTCAGACAGACTAGACTGTTCGTTAAGAATATACTTTTAAAGTAGTACATTTGGTATAAAGATAAACCATCAAAATGTCTTTACAAACCTTGATAGACAGTAAGCAGTGTCTGTAGATGTTGTGTAACTGGTCTTCTTTCCCTTTTATTTTTCGTTAACATCAGAAATTTCTTAGTGTATGTTTAAGGCCTTCAGAGACCTTCATAAACATGTTTGTAGAATATGTGAGAATAAGCAACATCAATAAATCGAATTCTGTACTTTCAGTATGAAGTAAACAAAGTTATTAAACAAATTATTTCAATCAAAACAAATAAATGAATATAAAATCCTTTAATTTATATGGTTAAGGTCTGAATTTTCTACTTTTCTTTATGTTGGCCTTTTTCTTTCCTCAAACTTCCATTTAAAAGAGGAATTAAATACGAGCAAAACAAGAAATTTATATGATATAAATTTATATAATCCACATATGTTATGAAAAGGAGAACATACTCTATTAACCTAAGACTAAGAGAGTGTATAATTTACGTTATTTATTATTTCTTTTTTCTCAAGCAACCTTTTGAACGGTATCCTTATTCCTCTGTATTGACGTTTGGTGGATGTAAAGATGACTTCATGCTGGTTGTTAGTCAACCAGAAACTGGAAATAACAAGGAAGGTGGCGCTACAGAACGACTGATTTTTTCAATGCCTAAACCAAAGGTAGGCAATTTTCCTTTCATTTTTCTTTTTGTTGAAGGTTGATTACACAGAAACATTAAGTTGAATCATTTCTGAGCAAACGAATAAATCGTCTTCTTATTGAAGGCTAGAACGCAAATCAACAACAAAACCTGAAACTCAATGAGCTCGCAGTTTCAGAAGAAAATGATGTGTTGAGTTTGAGCACACAACAGTTTCTCTAATCTCTAATTATTTCTCATCCTTAATTTGACCAACAATGTTGAAACTGACAGATTCAGTCAAAGCTGCACAATCGTTCACATGGTTAGCTAAACTGGGTGTATGGGGAAATAACCCTCTGCATATAACGTAAGATAAGACATCTTTAAAATGAAACAAATGCATATATCTAAAAAAAGGGGTTAAATTCGCGTCTAAGTTGTATTTGTGGACAAATTGTACTAAAACTTTTGAAATCAATATAAGATAAATCAAGAGGATTGTTTTGTTTTTTATAATTTCGCATAAAGCTACACGAGGGCTATATGCGCTAGCCGTCTATAATTTAGCAGTGTAAGACTAGAGGGAAGGCAGCTAGTCATCACCACCCACCGCGAACTCTTGGGCTACTCTTTTACCAACAAATAGTGTGATTCACTATAACGCCCCCACGGCTGAAAGGGCGAGCATGTTTGGTGCGACGAGGATTCGAACCCACGACCCTCAGATTGCGAGTCGAGCGCCCAAACCACCTAGCTATGCCGGGCTCAAATCAAGAGGAATGTGAAAAACACCAGGAGTCTATCGTGACTCTTCTTACGTTTATTAAGAACAGAAAAACACCAGGAGTCTATCGTAACTCTTCTTATGTTTATTAAGAACAGAAAAACACCAGGAGTCTATCGTAACTCTTCTTATGTTTATTAAGAACAGAAAAATACCAGGAGTCTATCGTAACTCTTCTTATGTTTATTAAGAACAGAAAAATACCAGGAGTCTATCGTAACTCTTCTTATGTTTATTAAGAACAGAAAAACACCAGGAATCTATCGTGACTCTTCTTACGTTTATTAGGAACAGAAAAATCTACAAGTTCCTGTATATAATTGGTTCCCTTAATTTTTTTTGACAAACAGTGGATGTACGTTAATGACTTTGTTCTTCTGCTATAAAATTCTATCAAAAATATATTTTTTATGCTTTGTGGGCTATTTAATAAGTGGAGTTTAACTTACTTTCTTTTATATTCTAGTAACGTTATGGCATACTTTTTTTGGCAATAAATGTTTTGCTGTATCTTAAAAATTGTTCCATGCAAAAAAATACATTGATTAGGAGCCAAGCGTGAATACCTTTTAAGAGAGGTAAAATTATATTTAGATAATCGTACACATTATTATATTTTTCCCATCTTGAATTCTTGAAACAATGAAAATTGTTTCAAAGTATTCTGAAAATTTTGCATTTCAAAGTTTTTCTCGTAAAATTCGACACTCTAAGCATAATGAAGGAACACAAGCACGAGTTCTATAAAAATTGTCATAAATTCATTTTATCTAGACCATTGACTAAACAATTAAAATATTCGAAATGATCTTACAAAACAAGGTTATTGTACTAAGATTTCATTCATTTAAAAAGCATGATGGATAAGAATAGAAGTGGTGTATGACTAAGAGTGGAACTAATCAACGCAAACTGAGCCAGCTTCTCTCTTCATCATGATCAACTAAACCTGACGCCCCCCAGTGGCACAGCGGTATGTCTGCGGACTTACAATGCTAGAAACTGGGTTTCGATACCCGTGGTTGGCAGAGCACAGATAGCCCATTGTGTAGCTTTATGCTTAACTACAAATAAACAAACTAACTAACTAAACCTGACAACGAAGTAATTAAAACATGTTTACTTATTTAGAAGTCACATGGTTTAAATTTTGGCTTATCTCAATTTCTTATAACTGTACCATAACTGTGGTGTTGACTTACGGTGATTTTGCTTTTTTACTGTTTGATATTTGAAATGTAAGATAACTTTTTCCAAGGTTTCTTATGTTTTTGAGCTGACTCAATTCTAGACTAGAACTACAGGAAATGCCTTTGCTCTAAAGTCAATACTGCACAATGTAAGAATTGTTTAAAGAAAAATAAGGTTACCTGGAGCAGTACGTTTTCTCATTTCTGTGAGGTCTTTTAACGTGTTTGAAAAATATAAACAGCCTTACAATGTCTGAGCATTAATTGTCAATTTAATAAGAATGGAACTTTCAGTAGGAACACAGACTCTAGCTCAAACATAATGCTTCAAGCGATCCTTTCAATAATATTTTTATCTCCTTGAATATCAGAATTATGGACTCCAACCCAGGAATAGTTCTCAGCTACTCTTTCAATAAAATTTTTGTGTGTGGTTTTTTGGAGCACGGATTCCTGTTGATATATAGTGCCTTAAGCGACTCTCTTAGAAGACGTTATCCAAGAGTTGGCGGTGTGTGCTGTTGACAGTCCTTTTTTGTAGTTTATTAGTTCAATATTAGATATGGCCATGCGCAGCATATCCTTATGTAGCTTTGAGTGAAAATTCAAAAACAGAAAAGCAGAATAGTTTTGTATCCTTCGGTTTTAGGCGTAAGCCTAGCACGGCTCTTATTGTAAAAATTAATGGGTTTTTCATTTTCTTTCTTTTTTTTTTTAGTTGTTCTACATTTTGTCGTTTTCTTTTCAATATTTTTATTTATTTAGGTGTTCGCTTACTCTTTAATCCGCATTACTTGTTTTCCATAATCTTTTTAGTGATAACTTATATTAGGTGTTCTGTTCGTCAGCTGCTGATAAAGATATTTTCACTTATAAAGAATTTATCAAAGGATAGTTAAATGCGGATAATTGTAATTTATGTGCTTAGCGGATAATCGTAATCTATGTGCTAAAAACACGATATTTCATTCAAAAGTGAAGTGAATTGATATAATTCTAACAATGATTTAAATTATCATAATTGAAAGTTCTTTTATACCTATTTTTTTTTCGCGCAGGAAACACCATTTCCTAGGATTCGTGATGTCTGCAAGTAGGAAACGTAAACAACGTCGTAACTTGTTAACTGTTTGATATGACATAATTACATTTAACATGTAAACGCGTGTTTTGAGCTTGTCAAGACAATATCTTTCATTCACGTGCCTCAGGATCATTATTGACGTTATGAATTTTTAGATATTAGATTAGTACAAATAAAATCATCATGTTATTACTGTCGCCTGGTGGATGTTCGGTTTACATAGTTATAAAAGACGACGTTAATAATAGAAAAATATTTTAATCCAAATACATCAATAAGTTTTCTATTGTATATGTATGAACCATAATATGAAATAATCGCTTTGCATAATTATATTATGTTATATTGTATCTGATGTGAACGTGCATATTGTTATTGATATATTTTGTTTCACTGACCAGATATATCTGCCAAACAGCTCTAAGATGTAGCAACAGTTCCTTACATTGTTGTGAGATATTGACCAACAAGTGTTGGCTCATTACGTTTCGAAGAGAGAAAATGTATTAGCTAAGACACCGTTTGTTATGGCTGCATTTTGTTTAATCGACATGAGATTTTAGCCACGAAACGGTTTGATATATATCTCAATGAATTTAAATAACCATTTGATATAACACCGTTTTGTTTCATTGACTAAATATGTCGGTTAGGTAGCTGATATCCCTGCATTTTGGTTCGTCGACTGTATATACAGTCATATAGCTATTTCGTTAGAATAGACTCTTACGTGTAACAACGTTTCTAGTTTCACTTTCATGATTTAATTTCCTAGTTTAAAGGATCGCTGGCATCAAACACTGAAGTGAAAAGACAAGCAGGTGGTAATAACTTCTTCATAAATAGTTTTTGAGTCATTTGAGGTCAGTGTAGGCAAGTCTGTTTAATTGTCGGTAAACTGTAATGTAATTATTTTAAAATCTATACTGAGAAACAAAAACAAGGCTTTACTTTTTAATATACTGCCTCCAGTTTGTACTTACTCTCATAGATGGCGTTTAAAAGTTTTGAAATTATTAAACTAAGGTCTTTAAATACGCTGTAAATTTTTTCATTATCCTTTCTGAATATTTTTAGATCTAACTTAAACATTCTTTTTCACCAAAGATGATCTGACTTGAACATGCTTTTTCACCAAAGATGATCTGACTTGAACATGCTTTTTCACCGAAGAGACGTTGCACTGTACGAACCACTCCGTCTATCCTTTGATTAATATTGATCTTTGACTTGTTCACGATTATAAATGGATTGTTAATAGAAGAATCACTTTTCCCACGGAATATTCTTCTGAAAGATAGGACTTTCGTCTTCGTTATTCTACAAATTTGCTTACAAAAAAGAAAAGGGATACATTTTAGATTATGTGAATGCTTTCTGTCCCTTATTTTTTTTCTTTAATAGCAAAAACTTATTTGTGTCCCTTCTCCAACACCCAGTAAGAATTCATGATTCAGGCATGCTAAAATCTCCTTCAGAATGTCTTAACCATTAAGCGTGAGCATTTGTGGACAATAATACAAGGGAATCAGTATTATTCTATATTAAATAATATTCCAGAAAACACAAGCTTGGGTTTGTTTTTCGTAAGTAAAAAAAATGTTTTTAGCGTTTTCGTAATGTTATTTGTATGAGACATAAAAACTGGGTACATTACAAGAATCAATGAACAGGTTTTCATTTAATTGGATAAAGCTAATAGTGCTTTATCTGTTTTGAAGAATGGAGTTAATCGTAGACTAATAATGTAACATTACTTTTTTCATCAAAAATATGTAGACAGTAAATATATGACGCAATTGAAAGTATGTAAATTTTATTGTAACTTTCTCAATTACCGCTATTATTGCGTCAACAAGTGAAAATTATTAATTCCAGGTTGTTGAAATTAATTTCTTTGAGTGGTTCCTATTAAGGTAATAAAGTTTGCAGGTAATGCGCTAGAATGAGTAAAATATGTGTATAACAGCTGAATGGGTTATTTAATATAATTGATATATAAAACAGACTGATAATGTATAATCACAGAATTAAAAATTAAGTTTTCTAGAACTGAAATCATTAATTTGTGCCTAATTAATTAATTTGTTTACCTATGAGAAGAAAGAAAATATAGACAGAAAATTAGTTAATGCTAATGCAGAGCAGAAGAAAGTATTTGTAGCATCAGTTTTAGCTTGTTTTTTCAGGCTTTCATGCAAAGCTACACGAGGACTATCTGCACATAACTATCCCTAATTTTGAATTGATAAGCTAGAGAGAAGATAATTAATTCAGAACACCCAGCGCCAAATCTTAAGCTATTGTTATCAGATCGAATAGTGGATTTGATCGTCACTCTTAGATATTGTATTCACGGCCCTAAGTGTTGAGCGTATGTTTACAGCAAAGGTTAGATATTGTATTCACGGCCCTAAGTGTTGAGCGTATGTTTACAGCAAAGGTTAGATATTGTATTCACGGCCCTAAGTGTTGAGCGTATGTTTACAGCAAAGGTTAGATATTGTATT